TCAATGTAATTTATTGTACAGTATTTCTGAATATATTTCATTCAGCGCGTTTTTGAAATGTTTTTTTTTAAATAACCGCGGTTGAATTGTTAAAGCAAAATGTGATATGCCTGGTCATATAAGGATGCCTATATGCCTGGTCATATAAGGATGTGCGATCGCACATCTTTCTGTGAAACACTGCGTTACATGAGTTTAATAAGAAATTGTTTTGTAACCACATGCAAAACAGAATAGTTTTCAGCACAATTTTTATCAGATTAATCTACTAAACAAACTGCTTGCTTTTTTGATATAGACTGCACAGACTTAAAGTAGCAAGACATTAAGTCTGTACTGTTAACTTTTTCTTATTTCAAAATTAGGTATTTATTAATAATTATTTTTAATAAATGACAGTATTATTAATTGATATTAGACAATTTTAAAATTTTATTATAAAATTTTGACAACTATGAGGTTTAATCTAACTTGCTAAATTTTGTTAATTTAAAAATTAAATCAACAGTAATATTATTTAATAACTTAAACTCACTTTTCTTTTTGTTGATGTCAAAGATTAATGCATTAATCAGACCAGATCACTTTTAAAAAGATAAAAAATTAACAGGTCAGAAATTTCCTTCAAGAAAAACAGAATCTTCAAGAAATACGGCATCACAAATGATGAAGTTCTCAATAAACATGTTTTGGAAAGTTCAACTCTAAAATAATTTTCTAAGGTTTATTTAAGAATGAACATAACTTGTCTCAGTCTATATGAACACAACTGGTCTCAGCTTATATGAACACAACTTGTCTCAGCTTATATGAACACAACTTGTCTCAGCACTGTGTGTTGCTAATATTAAGTTGTCATAATATTTTTGTTTTAATCCTTAATTTTTTTAATTTTTTTGGTTTAAAACCACCTCTTCTAATATTTTCTCAACTAAACTGCAAACCCAATTGAAAGCTAACTTTTATTTGACCCCTAGATTCACCCAATCATAATTTGCTTTACACATTCAGCAATTCTACTTCTATCATTCGGTTAAGATAAAACGTAATGTTGTCTTTCAAATTTTTTGGTTGTATGTATTTCAATCAATCAATCAATTAATCAATCAATATATTCTGAATTACTTGATTTTACAACTCAAGGATGTTTACAAATAGTATAATTACTAATGATGTGTAAACACCTAATAATATTGATGTTAATAATAAATAATAACAACTCTAAAAATCAAGTTAACAATAATGTTAACATTAATAATAACTATAATAATAAAAATGGAAATAATAACAATAAAAATAGTGGTATTAATAAAATAAATGGAATTATTAATAAATAATGATATAAATAAAAATAAAGATAATAACAATAATAACAATGATAATAATAACAATAGTATATTTAAATATTTCTATACTTATACACACACATACATAAATACATACATACATACATACATACATATATGTCCCACATACGCTTATATATATATATATATATATATATATATATATATATATATATATATATATATATATATATATATATATATATATATATACAAAAACACATACATCCATACACATACACACATACAATATTATATATATATATATATATATATATATATATATATATATATATATATATATATATATATACACACACACACACACACACACACACACACACATACACATATACTTAAGCAAATACATATATAAGCATACACATACACACATTACACACATACAAACACACATTAATACACATATGATACATATACCCACACACGCATACGCACATGTACATTCAATTATTGTACAAGGACGACAAAAAAGCTGTACATAAATGTAAAGATTCTTAAAAAAAAAAAGTATAAAATAAAAAATATATTCAAGAGAGTGTATTTTTTTAATAAGACTATTAACATTGATATATTGGTTTTATTAATGTTATTATTCTAGTAGCTATCCAAGTAGTGTTTTTTTTAATTTATTGAGAAAAATATATTGAGTTTTCAGTTTTAAAAGAATGAGGGAGATTGTTCCAAACATTGGCGCACTGATGTTTAATTGATTAGCTGCAAAGTTTTATTGTCCTAGTATGTTCTACAAAGATATTGTTGCATGAAGAGGATCTTAGGAAGTAAGAATGTTTGTTACATATTTGTAGGAAAAAGTTCTTGAAGGATATCGGAAGTTTATCATGAAGATAATCCCATACAAATAAACAATTTTAAAAGTAATATTGTCATTCAGCCTAAGGATTTTTGATAATTTATACAGCAGGGAAACATTGTCAAATAGGTAGTTTTGAAAGTGAATAATTTAAAGGGCTTTGTTTTGAAGTGAAACTAGTTGGTTCAAGGGACTTTTTCTTTTACCCAAAATCTGACACGCATAACTAAAGTGCGATCCAAACATGGCATGATAAATACTCAAAATTAATGAAATGTCTGATCTTGGCTAACATTCCAACTGATCGACTTAGCTTAGTAAGATCGACTTAGTAAGTCTGTAAGTAAGTTTAATAATATTTTAAAAAAAGACTCTCATCCAGACAAACTCCAAGATACTTCACAGTTTTCGACAAAGTTAATATTTTTCTATTAATGTTGAAAGTGCATTGTTCCTTGTTTTTTTAGTTTTTTAGTTTTTTTGGTTTTAAAGACAACTATTTTAGTTTTTGTAATGTTTAGTGAAATTTTGTTTGCTCTAAGCCAATTAGTAACAAAAAATATGACCTCATTAGTTTTTAACTGCATTTTTAAATAAAAAACAAAAATAATTTTTGAACTACTTGTAATTGGTTACTTAAATTTTTTTTTTTTCATGTTTAAATGATTAAAAATTAAAGTATATACCAGGCTTGGTCGGGAAGCGGGAGCCATCGCTCTCGAATACTGACCACGGAAATTATATTTAGTTGCAAAAAACTGGCCAGGTTTTTTAGTCGTTTTGAGAACATTTAAGTTATGTACGAAACAAAAAATTTTTGTTTTATGGACATACATGGAAACATTAAAAGCTTGAATGTTCTCAAAACATCATGGTGCGAAAGAATAAAAAGAATACTCGCGAACACTAAAAACCTGCCAAATTAACAAACAAACTAATTCTATTGGTTCAAAAAATACGCTGATTAAGCAAAATAAAGTTCTAGAGTATTCTGATTTTTAGCATAAATTGTTTTAAGAATATATATTATTTGTTTACAAAAATAAATGTTTTAAATATATATTATTTAAATTGTTAAAATTTTAAAAGTTTATTATAAATTATAGATTTTATTAGTATATTCTTATTTTTTTATTTAAAAAGAGATTGTATTCTTTATGTAAATGTAATTTTGTGCATTTGTTTTTTATAGTAATGTATCTTATAAAGCAATTTTTATGATTTAAACAAAGAGTTACAAAAATAAATGCGTTTTCAATGAAGTTATAATCGTTAAAGTTAATAAAACTAATTATGTAACAAACATATAAGAAGTTTCTGGTTGCTAAACACAAACAACGCATACAAAGTAACTCGCGGATGAACAAGCACCGCGCCTGAGGTCACAACAGAACACAAATATATAGCAAATAATTAGATATAAAGAAAAGTTTCTAGATATTGGTTTACTAATTATTTTCGCTCAAGTTGCCATTCTTAAAACTCGTTATACTTTTTTCTGCTTTAAATACTAATTAAAATTAAAAAGCCCACTCACTAAACATCATCTCACTAAATATCACTAACCACTCACTTTTTAATTAAAATTAAATTTTATATTATACTACAATTTTAATTAAAATTAAAATTTATATTAAAATTTATATTATCATCAGCGATATTATGATACAGTTTCGCTTCCTCGTCATAAAGTATTTTAAACCTTTTTAGTTGATTTTTATCTTTATAATTTAATTTCTATAGTAATTCAATGATTTATTTCATTTGTTTATCTTACTTAGAAGAATTGATTCAAATATGTTAAACTTTTCAAACTACGCGAAACATAAAATAGGTATTTAAAAAAATAACTTTAATTTATAAAATAATTTAGCTTAAATAAAACTAAAACTTGCAAACTTTGTTAAATAAAGAATATTTGTTTCCCTTTTAAACAATCGTAAGTTGTTACTTTATATAAAAAATATCGCTTAATTTTATTTAAAAAATTATAAAAGAGCGATGTTTCGAAAATATTTGTTCTAAATGTAGTTTATTTAGCTTTAAGTTTTTTCGCGTTTACAGATATTTTGTTTGCCTAATTTTTTTTTTTTTTTTTGTAAATATCTCTCATTGGTCAAATTAATCTTTAGCGCTTTTTTTTTTGCTTATTAAAATGTTCTCAAAACGACTAAAAAATCTGGCCAGCTTTTCGCAACTAAATATTATTTACGTGGTCAACAATCGAGAGCGATCGCTCCCGCTTCTCGACCAAGCCTGATATATGAGCGAGTAGACAAAGAATTTTAATCTTTTATCCTACTATTACCTAGAACTTGTTCCCATAAGACCCGGGGGAACTTTTATAAAATATTTTTGATAGAAATAAAACCATTTCAAGCTGACTATGAAACATTTTAATTATTATACAAAAATGTCAGAAAATTGTTACCTATATATTAATCAAAAATAAGAATGTTAAAATGCACTTTTTTAGGTTGCTGTTTCCTTTGATATTTAAAGCTTTCAAATAAAATATGAAAATTAAGATCTATAAAATCAAAATTAAAAAAAATATATAAGAATAATAAAGAAAATAAATCTATAAAATACTAAACACAACCTTTTTTTCCTAACATTTTTAATTTATTTATTTTTACTTTTAAAAAAAAAAACTAACTAAATTTGAAAAAATTTAATTAAAAAAACAGTTTTAAAAAAACTATTAAATAAAAAAATTAGAACTGTTAAATACCTCTTCAGGACAGTCAAAATAAAGAACGCCTTTCAAAATACATCTGTCTTGCATACGATTAGTCCAACCAATCAAATTATCTTCATTTCGAGGAAAGCCGTCAATAAGAAAAAGTTTAGTAGGGCTATCGGTCATTGCCTAATATTTATAGAATTATTAAATACACATTTACATTATTTACATTATTAATAAAAGCAGTGGCATCACTGGGGTTAGTGTCACCAAGTGCAATAAACTTTTGGTGCCACCCCTCTAGGCTTTTACTAAAAGGGCCAAGGACATGGGTTTTAAATTTATAAACTAAAAAAAAAAAGTCCTTTTAAAAAAAAAATTGGACAAAATAAATAAAAAAGCAAAAAGATATTAAAATAAGCATAAGCAGATCTGTCATATTTGCGTATTTTTCATTTTAGTGTCACCCCTCTGTGTTAAGTCATGATGGTATAACCCGGTGCGGCCTGCACCCCATAGTGATGCCACTGACTAATAGTATAGTTTTAAAAATTACAAAAAAAATGTAAATATAAAAATAAAATCAAAAACAGCTGTGAGACTGAACACTAGGATGATTAATTTTACATTAAACATATGTAAAAAACAACAACAGGTTTTTAAAATAATTGTGGTCATTCATTTTGAATGAAAAATAAAAAAGTTTATAAAACAGAAACATTTGTATTTGACAGACATAAAAATGATATTTATAAGTTAGAGCAGTGACATTAGTAAAAGAGTTTAAGTTCAAGTAAAAGCACAATAAATCTCAATCAAAAATATTAAAAATGTTTTTGGATATTTTGGATAAAAAAAAATATTTTTAAATGTATTTACTCCCCAAGGCCTCATGGACCACTAAAGTCAAAGGAGAATATTTATATATATTTTTAAAAATATTTGTTACAACGCTCTCTCAACTATTCAACTTGGAAACATGAGACTTGATGGACAAGACCACTGCACAGAGAAACAAACTGATTATAAAACAAGTGCACTATTTCTACATCACTCTTGCGCATTAGACTCAAAACAACTAGTAAATTTTCAACAAGTTGTTTAAAAACAGTCAAAAAAGTTTTTGAATCTGGAGAAACAACTTTTAAACACTTTGGCCATGCAATAATATAAGTTGTTAACTTGCAATTCCACAAACATTGAAAACAAAATACTAATTCATATATACTTTTTAACTTTGTCTCGATAATTTATTGAGATATACAAAGTTTCACAAAAAATTGTTTTTTTTTTTCAACATTTTACAACATTTATACAAATATAATTGGTGCTTTTGCATGATGTTTTTAAAAATATTAACATTGAAAAAATTTAAAAAAACTGTTGCAACATCATTTTAAAAGACTGTTGTAAATATCGTTTTAAAAGAATATTTAAAAGTCTTTTTATCTTAAAAATAATCACAAAAGAAAAATTGTTTACAAATATCAAGCCTTCTTGAGAGACTTATGTGGTTGCACGCCTTATTTAACCTTATTATATGACCACTTATATAACTTTTTGTTTTGGCAACATGGCCATGGCTTTTTTCATGTTTTAAGTCCTAAACTAAAATTATAAAAAAACAAACTATAAACTAAAAAGAGAAATTAAAACAAACAAACAAACAAAAAAAAAAACTCAACTAAAAAAATAAAAATCTTTATAAATGATAAAATTAAAAAATCAAAAGCATAAAATTAATGTTTTTATTTTAACTTAAGTGTTCACTACAAAGAATTTTAAAAAATTTAAGTTTTAAAATAATTTAATCCAGACTTAATTTCTTTGAAACTTTGAAAAAAAAATTGAAATTTTATAACGTCTAAAAAAAAATTGAAATTTTATAACGTCAAAGTAAATAAAACATTGAAAAAAATTATATGTAAGTAGGATTTGAACCCCCACCTAATGCCAATATAGCAGTTGCGCCTTAAGCTAAGCGCTCCATCACCATGTGGATATAGAAAAAATTGTCAATTAAATAAATTGAGACGCTTCTAAATTTAAAAGTATATTAGCTTTATGCATTTATTTTCTCTGGTTGATACTTTATTTATTTTATTGTTCATTAATCTTGTTTATTTTTCAGTTTACAATTTTATTTCTTTTACATTTCTCTTTAAATTAGTTTCATTTTTTCAGCGCATCTTTCAAAACACGCAAATTATCAATATATAGCAAAAACCATGGCCAAGTTGTAAAAAAAAAAATGTATTAGTGGTCATATAAGGCGTGCAACCGGCTCACGCGCCTCCTGAGAGTTACATGCAGAACAATTAGGGGTGTTAAGGGGATTGAACTATGAACTTATGGTCTCTGAACCCATTTCAAAAAATAATTCAGCCAGATAATTATTGACTATAATGACTTTACAGAAATAAAAAATTTGAACTTCTTCCACTGGGTTCAACCCATACATAAAGTTTCATAATTACAGAAGTGTTTGAAAAAAAAATTGAATTATCTGAAAAAAAAAAAAAGTCTTAGTTACTACTGGCCTCATAGGCTTGTTCTTGGGCTGGTCTACTAAATTCCACTAAAAAGGAAATAGGTTAATATTCCAAAAATTATTGAATATTTTGAAATAATTTTTATGCAAGAAAATTTTTTTATATATACAGTGCATCTAGAAAGTATTAGTGCACTCAATTTTTTTATTATAGACGATTTTAAATCAATATAAATTGAAAATTAATTCTAATTTCAAACTAGTTTTTTTTAAAATAAAAAGTAAAAACAATTAAATTCAATTTAAATATTTGTCAACCTGTTTATTTTTTCGATGAATTAATTAGAAATTTGCTGACTACTCTGAAAAATGTGTGAAATTGAGCTAGCAAGTGCGCTAATACATTAATTAAGTGCGCTAAAATATTAATTACCAAACTTGTTAAATTTTTTTTGATTTTTTTTTTTTTTTTGTTAATTGTTGTTAATTACTCTCTGCTGATTAATAATAGTCAATAAAAAAATATAAGAATATATGACCAAACTATGATTTGAAATACAGTTAGTTAAAACTTCAAAATTGCAAAACAAAAGTATGGATTAAAAGAGCATATCAATTGAAACAAGTGGCAAGTTGTTGGCCTGCGCAAAAGTGGTCTTAGCAATCAAGAAATCGGACATCAACTTGAAACCAGTGAGCGTTAGAGCTCTAAAACTATAATGAGTTTGGAACAGTTGAAGACAAAAGTTGCTCTGGTAGTCCCAAAAAAATGTCAGAAAGAGACAAAAATAAAGCAATTAAGATCGCTAGACGCAACCAGAACTTGAGCATAGCTAAAATCATCTCAGACCTAAATACAGCAATGGGTGCACATCAAGTTAGCCTATCAACAATTAGCAAGCTAATGAAGAAAAAAAAACTCAATTCGCACCTTGCAACAAAGAACCACTAAGCCTCAAATACCATCTCAAGCGAAGAAAATGGTGCAAAGAGAGAGCTGCATGGACAGTAGAGCAATGGAGAAAAGTAATTTTTTCAGACGAGTCAAATTTTGAACTCATTAATCGCAAGAAAAGATTTGGTTTGGGGCTGGATCGGGCTGGATCTAGCCTTAATCAACATAAAGAGATATTAGAAAGATTATTTAAAGCCTTCAATAGACATTTTCAAAGCTAATACCATCTGGCAAATTCAACATGATAACATTCCTTGCCAAACAGCTGAGTAGAAAGGAACTGACTGCAAATTACAAAAAAACAAGCCCACTAACTTGGTGCAGCTCAAGACACAAATGTAAGCGTTGTGGAATACCATGCCATAAGATTAAAACAAAAAAACTTATAGATTCTATGCCATGTGGAGTTTTGGCATGCCTTAAAATCAAAGGTGGTCACATAAAATGTTAAATTTTCTTGAAATTTTTGAAAAATTGTAAGTGTGCTAATACTTTTGCACGCTTAGTTTCATACATTTTTCTGAGTAGTCATTAAACACCTAACTATTTCATTGAAAAAACAAACAGGTTGACAAACAATTGACATAATTAAATTAAATTGGTTTCACCCTTCATTTCATTAAAAAAAAAAAATATTTCAAAATTAAAATTGTCTATAATAAAAAATTTACGAGTATGCTAATACTTTCTGGAAGCACTATGCATATATACACCTATAGTTAAGGTGTTAAACATACTGCTTATAGTAAAAAACTGACACAATTAAGGTTAGATTAATTTAATTTGATTTAATAAACCCACTAATTTAATTGAGGAGACTAATTAAAATTATTGTTTTTCAAAAAAAACCACAAAAATGCAAAAATAAAAGACTAGAATATTTTTAAAAACATTCTGTTTTTTTTTGTTTTTTTAATAAAAACATTCTAAACATTTTATTTTTTAGCAGCACTCCCTTGCTGCAAGGGAAATCTGCTGCTTCGACCCTTTTTGACAGCACTAACCAAATTCAGGACCTTTTTTTTTAAGGCAAATATTTTTTTTTCCGTGAAAAATCGATAAATTTCTTTACGAAAAAGCCCTGGGACAGGGGTACTGCTGCCCAAATAATTTTCCTACAATAGCCCCTGTTTTATCACTTGCAAAAATTTTTTAAAAACGTGTTTTTTTAACCTTGAAAATCTCTTTCTAGAAAAAACATAATCAAAAAACTTTAAATTATCTTATTTCATTAAAACTATTAACCTAGTTCCATAAAAAAAATATTTAAAAAGTACTAATAGAAAAAATATCCTTAAAAAATGAAAGTAAAATCATACTTCCATATAGTGACACATAGTGTGATTGTGCCTAATTTATGATTTCTACTGATGAGTCTACCAGCAGAAAAGCAAGATCTTTGGTTGATACTGATTCAAACTTTCTACTTTGAAATCAGACAGGTGCAACATAATACTAGTTTTCACAAGTTGTCAACACATGGATCTTCTTCTGTCTTATTTGTCTTATGTAAAAATAAGATAATATCTCAGCACTTTCAAATTAGGTTAAAAATCGTTAAGAAGGGTAAACCAAATAAAGAAAAAAGAGATTATAATTTGAAGCTGTCTTGATATAAAACTGTAAATGTAATTATTAACTGCCAATAGTTAATAATTACATTTTGTCATTTTTAGTTTATTGTTTGGCATTATGAGGTTCTATTGAACATTTTCTGGTGTATTGTTTAAGATTACACATAAAGTTTTCCACTGATTCAATTTCTAAAGCATTGACGATATTCCTTTGTAGAATGAGGTTTAATGTCTTGAATTATTGAATATGCTTTTACTCAGAATTAACAAAAAAATATATATATATAATTTTGCAGTCTTCAGGTATTTTAACTTTACCAAACTATATAGCTTGCATTTTTTTTTTACAGTATATTCTTCCTTGATTTGAATGTTTCATCAATTTTTAAAAGATTTTTTTTTCAACAACTTATAACTTATATATAAGAAGATAAGAGCAATAAGAAGTTAACTTTTAGATCATAAATTAATTTGGTACATTAAATACATAGTAAGTTAAAAATGTCAAATTCAACTATTAATAATGATTGCTTAAGAATTTAGTCTTAATTGATAGAAAGTGACATAAAAGTCATATAATTTGTATTATTTATTATACATTGAATTATATTAAATACAATTTTTTTTTTCAGTGTTAATTCACCTTCCCAACCTATGAAAGCCACCACAGTCAACTTAAATTGTGATGACAATTTAAGTTGACAATGCTTTTATTAACTCCTTGCCTTGTAACGAATTGTAATTTCCACAGGTACATTTGATTTGATGTTTTTCTGTGAACATCAAATCTTGCAATCAATTTTTGAGTCACTTCCTGATGATAGATTTTCTTCAAATTTTGGATACATACTCTTGCTTGATGACAATACAATATTCAATAATTAGTTTTGCAATAAGTCAATTAATTTAGTTAATTTAATTAAGTTTATTTTTAACATGGAAGAAGAAGAATTTTTATAATAAATATATTAATTGTTTTTCTACTTATAAGCGCATTTAGCTTATTTGGGTAAGGCGTTGACTTCATAAACAGAATATCTATGGATCAAGACCCACCTCTTACTAAATTTTTATTGTTTTTTTTATACACGCATACAACTGATATTTTATGTTAATAAAATAAAATAGAAATATCAGAAAAAATTTATTGCAAAAAATGTGTTTTAATAACATATAAAAGCATTGGGTTTTAAAAATTGGTTTTTAATTTTACTTTTAAGATAAAACAATAATTTACTTGTAAATGTTATACTTACTGATAAAATACAGAATTAGAGTAATGCTTAACTTTTAAATATACCTGGATGACAAGCAACTGAAGCTTCCAAAAGTTTGTACTTTTTACTTTAACATTTTTTCCCCTTATTTTAAATTCAAGTTCAATGTTTAAAAAGATAAAAAGATAAATATTTAAAATAATAAAAAGATAAATGTTTAAAAAGATAAAAACCTCTATAACTATTTAAAACCTTGATTTTTTGAAAATTTTTTTTTTTAATTTTTACTTTTAAAAATTAATTAAAAGCATTATAACAAAGAGAGAAAACAAATAATACTATAAAAGTATCTAATATCTTTCCAGAAAAGATATTAGATACTATATAATTCAAAAGTTTTTAGATTAATCTAATAAAAATCTAGGGCGCAACAAATCAAGGATTGTGCAAACTTTTGTTCAAAAAAAAGACAGAAAAATGAACACAGTGTTTCTTTATTTTTGCTAACGCAAATGGTGGTATTTGCTTAAAATTTTTCAAAACAAACGCATTACTTCAGTAATTTTTTTTCCAAATAATTATGCAATTAATTTTTTTTTTCAAATCATAAAAAACATATCTTTATAATAAAAAATCATTTAGTTACTGAAATTTAAAAATTAATTGTTTTAGCTTAATGCAAAAAAAAAAAAAAAATTGCTGTAATGTTTTAGTTCTGTTTACGTTTACTATTTTTAATGATGCATTTCTTTGTAATTCTAAAAAATATTATTTGTCTTTTAAGTGGTTTATTTATGTTGATTTTTTAAACTTATTTTTCAAATAAGATAGCTACAAGTTAACTTTGATTTTTTGATTTCTTGAATTCTTGATTTCTTTTTTTTTTTTTTTTTTTTTTTGGAGGGGGGGGGGGGGGAGGGGGATTTTTTCCTGCTACCAAAAGAGTTGTTTAGATGGAGAAGTTGAAATATAAAATTATTGTTAGAAATGCTGCACAAGAAAAAACTGCTGCACAAGAAAAAAAAAACATAGCAGAATGAGGCTTGAATTAAAACTGAAAAAAAGAAATGAAAGATTAAATTTCTGCATAAAAGCATTAATGCAAAAAACTTCATGAGTTTATACAGGAGGCACAATTTTCAGCAGAGAGACATTAGACATTATCCCAAGGACCATCTAAAAGAAAATCACAAATCTGCAGAGACAAGACACAAATCAAGGAGTGAAGGTAAGTGATTAGTAAGAGATTGGTAAATGTGATTGCCTCATCCCTTTGTGATTGCATCATTCCTGCTAATCAATCAAGTTGTAACAGAGAACTCTTTATGTGGCCAGAAAAAAACACTTTTATATGCCTCATGACACTGTGGCTACCACAGCGTTCAGACAACTTACTATCAACCAGCCTCTGAAATCATTAAACAGAGTTTTAGAGCTATACCCGCATTAGTATTTATCAGAAAAAATTGCAAAATAAGCACAAATAAAAATCGAGAGTGAAAGTAAAAGAGTGGTGGAAGGAAAATCTGCACATTCATGCCAACTGACTAGATAAATAAGCAGCACAAGTTTGGTCAACACAAAATTTCTGCTAACTACTTAAGTCTTTGCCTACTGAGTTTTTAAAAATAAATTATTTATTTACATCATATTAATTTGTAAACATTATAACATTTAAAAGGAGTTAGCATTAAAATGATTTAAATTCAATTTCAATAATATTATAAATGTATATAGATAGAAACCAAAATATTCAATACATAAATTTATGTTTATGCCTTGATCATTAAAACATATTGTAAAAAAACCTTTTCAAGCAAACGAATTGTAATTTCCACAGGTACAATTTGACCTTCTCTTATATAGGTTTCAATTAGATTGCCGTCATTTGATCCACTTGCTCTTTCAGCCCTCAGTAAATCGCCAGCTGATAAATGAACGAACTTATATTCCTGGAAAAAATTTTAGAATGAAAAAATTTTTTTAAATTAATAAAAAAACAACAACTTATAAATTAGAATAGTTCAACCTCTTTTATACCAAATATTGTAATATAATTTGTATAAATTTTAAAACGTTATGCTCTATACAAAATTGCTTTTAAAAATTTTTCAATAAAATTTTATATTAACATAATATTTAAAAACATTATAGAGTTTAACATGTTTTATTTCACCTTAACTAAATTCAAACACTGTGTTCCTTTACCAGCGCCTGGTCCCCCAAGTACAAAAAATACAGTAGGAAGCACCGATGACATGCTAAAATTAGCAGGTAACTTAACTGAATTTATTTTTTTCTTTACCAGAGCAGATATTACAGCAACACATAAAAGCATTAATTCTGCAAATAAATATATATATATATATATATATATATATATATATATATATACATATATATATATATATATATATATATATATATATATATATATATATATATACATATATATATATATATATATATATATATATATATATATATATATAAAATTGATTTTTAGACGAGATTAAATAAAAATAATAACATGATTTTTACTCATGAATATTGTAAAACATTAATGTATTGGTAAAAATAATGTAGTTATTTTTATTTAATCTCGTCTAAAAATCAATTAAATAGCTCTGATATCATTATATAATATCAGAGCTATATATATATATATATATATATATATATATATATATATATATATATATATATATATATATATATATATATATATATATATATATATATATATACATAAATTATATAAGTATATATAAATTATGTACATACATACATGCATACATTCATGTATACATACAGTAGAATATGTTACTACCATGTCAAACTCATTATGCTGTATCAAAATATATACTTTATAGTTGATTTACTTGATGTAACTGATAATACAATTTGAAAATTGTTAAAAAATTTATTTTTACAAACTTTTTGTCTCACTAGACCTCTAGGCCCACAACAATAGATATTCAGAGATATTCAACAGAGATATTTCCTATATAGTGATGAGTGATAATATCACTCATCACTCATCTGTAAACTGTATTGAAGTCAGCAACTTCTTCTATATCACTGATATAGAAGAAGTTGCTGACTTCAATACAGTTTACAGATAAAGACTAAGAATGGTAAAAAAAAGCTGTAACTCTTCTATTTCTGGAATAAAGTCAACATCAAGCATTTGAAAATTTAAATTAAACATAATATTTGTCAGTTAAATATCAGTTAATTAATTCGACAGTAGTAGATTAGTTATAGGACTGCACTCTCATATGTGTACAAGAAAATTTTGGTGTCTTATCAATGATAAGACACCTAAGTTTTCTTGTTTTTTCAACATTTTTTTATTTTTATCTATTATCCAAAAAAGGTTTAGTTTCTTGATCATTTAAAATACGAATCTACTAGATGATAACATTTTTTAAAAATAAAGTATATGATATTATCATATACTTTATTTTAAAAAAACGTTATCATCTAGCAATAAAAAAGTTTAACAAAAAATTGGCAGATAAATAACTTATTTTGAATATATTGCTTTTATCAAACAATACATTACCTAGAGTAAACTTTACTTACTAGATAATCTAATAGATTCGTATTTTAAATGATCCAAGAAACTAGACCTTTTTTGGATAATAGATAAAAATAGACCCAAACCCAACAATAAGAATATACAACAGAGGTTTATAAACTAGTTTGAATACTAGAATACTATATCAGGTAAACATACTAAAACTCAGAAATCCCACAAGTATTTGTTTTAGTGTACTTAAGTTAAACAAAGTACATATTTATGGTACATACGAAGGTACCAAGCGAAAACTAGTAACACGTGGTACAATTTGAATGACGCATTTAAAACATAATCGTATCAAACGTGAGGGGTTAAAAAAAAAAAAAAGGTGTCCCTTTTTTCTGAGCCGTTGCACAAGGCGTCACTAATAATAAGATTTCCGATACATTTCTAAGTTTCTAAACTTTAACTTTTTTTAGAGTGTTGGCTATGGGAAAGGTATAAGAATAAAAATTCAGTAAAATAGTTCAAATTATAATACCAACTTAAAACTTTTAGGAAGTTGTCTTCGAATTGAGCAGCCGTAGCGCTGTGGTTAGCATCTTTGCTTCAAAAACTAGAGATCTGTGGTTCAACTCCACCTCTGGGTAAGTTTAATAACATCGGTAAGGGAGGAAGCGTAAACGTGCTTTCTAATGCTCTTCCACGGTTCTCTGTGACAAGACCGTAGGGTCTTATCACAGAACACGGACCCGAACAGCTATTTGCAGGATGATACTGAATATTTGCATTTGCGTTGCGTTCCGCAACGTTTTTTTCATCCACATTTTATTAACTCGAAAAAAAAAATATGTACCTTTTTTGAAACACAGTTCTTTTCAAATGCTGAAATAGTGCATTTTTTGTAGGTGGTAACCCCTTACTTTGCCGTGACTTTTTAGTGAACAGCATTCTTGGGAATATAGCGAGGTGGAACTTGTCTTATCATAAAGTAGAATAACGTATCACTCAAAATGAAGCAGTGAATCAGGTAAAATAGCTCTAGCATTTATAGATGGCAAGCTAAATAATAAAATAAAACAACATATTCTACAAAATTTGCACAAAAAAAACTGCCCATAAGAAAATAGTTTTAGAAGTTAGCACTTAACAAATCTAAAATTATTGCTTTTTTATACTATATAAACATTTTTTAACTGCAAAATGCTCTAATTGTTTCTTTTTATCCATTGTTCCAGAGATTCCATGCCAATTTTTTTTTCCGTTCTGACAATGAAGACATGGTTTTACAGCCAGTGAATGCAAACTACAATGAAACAGCTTCTGCTTTTTCACCTATCTTTTTTGCGTAATAGTGAATTGAAGCTATTTATGTTTTCCAAGTATAAACTCTATCCAGTTAACTGTTTAAAAACGAAAATTGAGATTGTAAAAATATCTGTTTGAATACAGAAAAATTGGTACTCACTGTCAACTGCGTTTTTAACATGTCCCAAAATTCTAGTGTCAGCTTCTTCGTGGTTACAAAGTAAGAAATCGGTCAAAACAGTTTCATCTTACGTTGTTACTAAAATTCAAATGTTGGCAATGGCGTTGCTGGGCTTTGTGTCACCTAGTGCTGTAAACTGTTGATGTCACCCCAGTGGTCTTTCATTAAGGTGGTTCATACCTTTATTTTTGATCAAAAATTTAAAAAAACATTTTTGGCTTTTTGTTATGCAAAATTTTATAATAAATTCAAATATATTATTGAAATTTATAAAAATATTGAATATGTTGACTAAAATTCCTTTTTATGCAACCCTATAAAAATTACGCTCTTAGCAACATTATAGCAATGACTCCTCAATATTGAAATAAACTACTTTACAAGCTTGAAAACTTGCATTATCAAGTTGGAAAAAGTGTTATTGAGGCTGAAAAAGCAAGACAATAGTTATTTAAAGTACATACTTTAAAATAACATTTTTTGCCACATGAAATTAGATTTGTTTAATTTGCAGTCTTTACAGTTGCCATTGCTATTGTTGTTATATAACCCAAATAAAAATAAATTAAGGGTGTTTAATTTTAGAGAAAATTAACTCATGCCTATATCAACACTTTCAAAACATAAAAGAAAGTTCTGCGGTAACTAGATACACTACAGACCTTCCAAAGAATTTTTTTTTATTAATAATGCTACGTAAATGGACAATCAAAGTAAAACATTAATGAATAAAAAGTGCATTAAAAGGGGAATTGAGAGAAGAAAGAAACTGAGAACCAATAGGAAAGAATTTGTGGAGGAAGAAAAATAAAGTGAAACTATACCAACCTATGCAGCTGAGGCTTATTAATTATTTTATTGCATTTTTTTCTTTGTTCTTTAGTTTTAACCTATTTTATTTTTTTAGTTATTTTCAGTTTTATATTTTAAATACCTTTCGATCTGATAGTCTAAATGATTTGAATTTTTCAGGATATAATTGTAGTGGTATTGTGAAGGAGTTGAAGCAGAAGCAAGGCTTTTTTTTTAAAAAAAAATTTTAATGTAGATTTAATAGCTTTTTTTGTATACACCTCTATTGAATTTTTGCCTTTTTTTACAATTTTTGTAATAATTTTTGTAAAACGTGTAGGAATTTTCTGAATCTGCTTTAACTCCTGTGTAACTACGTAATAATGATAGCCTGAAAGTTTTAGGTTCAAAAAGCAAATCTTTCTTACTTAATCGCAGATTTAAATTAAGCGTAAAAGTATGAATAAATGAGGCAAAAATACATACACATTTTTATTTTTTATTTTAATGGATATTGTTCATTGATTTATATAGGTTAACTAGAAAAACCACTTAAAATGACTAGTTTTCTTTGAAATTTTTTTTTTAGGGTATGAACCACCTTAACAGGGAAGACGACAAGGGCTTTGTTTTTCTAAAAATAAAAATAAAGGTCTTTTGAAAAAAAAGTTAGGGCGTACATTATTTTTTTTTTTTGCAAAACTGAAACTATTTTAAAGCATTTCAAAAAAAATATATTGTTCCATTTTTAACATTTTTACGAAATCGAAGAAAAACGATAAAATATTTTAATTACAAACGTACAAAATTTGTTGATCTTATATAAAAAATAAAAGACTTTTGTTTAAAATAAAAAAGCAACAGAGTTATTAAAAAAGAACTTTTTTCATTTTGGTGTCACTCCTCTGTTTCAGGTCATGATGATGTCGCCCGGTACAGCCTGCACCCCTTTCCATATTGACGCCACTCAATGTTTGCACTTGCACAAAGTTTTTTGCAAGCATTTTAAACAACTAATTTTTGTTTACATTCAATTGTAAGGACTGTGACCAGTTTTTCCAAACGAGAGTTGAATCAGAAACACACTCTCACATCATTACTACGACTCTCCTTAATCTAAGTTTTAAAATTTCATAGAAATTATTAGTCATACACAATGTCAATCTTTTTTATGTTATGTTTTGTTGTAATATTAATTGTTTTTTGACGAAACTCAATTTCAGAATACTCTTTAAATGTCTTTGTATTTACTGGATGAAATGTATGAACATTTGCTCTTCCATCTAACACATTTGCAGTGATACCTTCAGGAATTGTCAAAGCAGACCAAATACCCTTCATGACATTTGAGATACTTCAATTCATTAGTTTTTTGGTATTTACCAAATTCACATATTGCTGGTGGATAAGTATGATTTTCATGTCGAAATAATTATCTAAATTTTGGAGATTTTTTTTATACATCAAATCCCTAACAATTGTTAAACTATTCTGAATATAATATCTGGAAGAATCAAAAGCCGTTTATAATACCTTA